ATATCACTTATATGTGGAATCTAGAAAAAAAAAAAAAGACACAAAAGAACTTATTTGTAAAACAAACAGACTCACAGACATAGAAAACAAACTTACGGTTCCCAGGGGGGAAAGACGTAGTGGACGGATAAATTGGGAGATCGAGATTTGCAGATACTAACTACTATATATGAAATAGATAAATAATACGTTTATATTGTATAGCACAGAGAGCTATATTCATTATCTTGTAACCTATAATGAAAAAGAATATGAAAACGAATATATGTATGTAGATGTATGACTGAAACATTATATTGTACACCAGAAATTGACACAACACAGTAAACTGACTATACTTCAATTTAAAAAAAAGAAAAATTTTAAAAATGTGTATATATAATGGAATACTACTAAGATGTAAAAAATGAAATCTTGCCATTTGTGACAACACTGATGGATCTTGAGGTGTCACGCTAAATGAAGTAAGTGAAATGGAGAGAGACAAATACTGTATGATTTCACTCATATGTTAAACAAAGAAAGAAACCAAACCAAACAAAAACAAACACATAGATACAGAAAAGAGGGTAGTGGTTACCAGAGGGGAAGGGTAAAATAGGTAAGGGGGGTCATCTTTATGTTACCGGCTGGAAACTAAACTTTTAGTGGTGAGGATGCTGTAGTGTATACAGAAGTTGAAATATAATGTTGTACATGTGAAACTTACATAATGCCATAAATAAATGATATCTCAATCTTTTTAAAAATTAATAAAATTTTAACATTTGGAAAAGAATGTGGTATTAATTGCGCACCTAAGTTTGTATACAGAATTATACCTACTGTAATAACAACAAAAAGACAACAGTATTAAAAAAAAACAAAAAAGATCTAAACCAGGAGAGCCAGGAAGGGACGTCCATAGATGAGCTCTGCAAACAGGTGCAGAGAACCATGAGTCCAGTACCGAGGAGCAGAGGAAGGCTCTGAGAAAACCAGATTAAAACTGAGCATCATGTAATAGACAGGCTAATTGGAAGAGCTGAAAAACAAGAGTTTAACAGAAACAAATTATCCAAGAAAAAGGAATTAGCAATACCAGGAAAAGAAGCTATATGAATAAGTAGAGTCCGATTCAGGAAGCAAATCAAAATGTGGCTTTAGTTAAACTAACTTCTGGAATCTAAGCAAACAGACTCCATTTGACCTTAGTGATAGGAGCCATCTCTTTTAAACAAATCAGAATTGAGACATGGGACCCAGAGAAGCAAACATAATCTTAGCCCATCCTTTGACCCAAGAGACTCATGATCATCTAGAAGTTTTTGCCTTGAGTCAGCCTCTGTACAAAACACAGGAACTCATAAAGGTTAACAAACTTGACGAGGTAAAATCAAAAGTGTGGCTGACAAAAGGTACGAAGTACAAGTGAAAAGAAAGGTGAGGGGAGTGTAGGAGCAACCATTTTCATTTCAGTAGAGATACAACACAAAAAATAAATGAACAAAAATATTATTTAGAGGTACAAAAGTAACCAATCAATTAATAACTAAAGGTAATAATAATAATCACCATTTAATTATCAAAATGTGAAAGAAGGTGAAAATAGAAAATGAAAAAGAATTAGGGGAGCAAGGAGTACCAGATTATAATATTCAGAAATGGAGATACTAGTGTTATTTAGATTCATGGGGGGAGGGGAGGAATCACCAGAAAGTAAAAAACAAAAGACAAAAAAAAAAAACAAACAAAACAAAAAACCCACAGCTAAAACAATTCACCTCTGCACGATAGGACTATAGGGCTAGGGTAGGGAAGGATGGTGTGAGAGACCTGCTTTCCATCATGAACACTTTTGCACTATTTGAATCGTCATCCTGTGCATATTTTGACAATAGGCCTTTATGATTTCAGAGTTTGCATTCTTCCTATTGTTCCACACTACCCAAACTGGCAAGAGTACATAAGTCAGTACTAGAAATTAAAGGATTACAATGGCAAAAGCTAACCTCTCTTTTGAGAGCATTATAGCACAGGAATGAGAATGAGGAATCAATTATACAATGTCCAGAAAGCACGTCTAACATAGCCATGATTGAAAATATTATCAGTCTCTGAGGAAATCAAAATCCGGAGTCAGCAGGACTCAGCAGGACTCAGCCAGAGAATGTTCAAGCCACTGGTCATATTTGAAATCAGACAAGTAATAATACTGAGAGTCTTGATAACATGTTTTCAGGTACAGAGAACAGCCAAAGGAGGGGATTGGAAAGGAGAAGACTGAGTGCCAATTGAGCAGTTTCCAGCACAGGATCTAAAACTCAACGAGAAACCAGAGCCAGACTTAAGGGCAGAAAAACTGGGCCAGAACCCTAATCACATGAAACGGATGAAAATGGGTATATTGGTGTGAGGGGGGAGTGTATTATGAAGACAGGGTAAAGAACTTCAAAATTCATAGACATGGCAAATAACTTGTGCTGGAGATACCAAGTCTTTGAGCAGCAAAATTCATTTCAGCCCTACAAATTAGAGGAGCGGATGTCCTGTATGACTGCTCAGGTCAACACAAAAACTAAGCAAGACTGAGTTTGCAGGAGGTCGACATTGGTAAACACAGTGGGAAAAGGCTAGAGAAAGGAGTGGATGACAAGAATGGGTGCTTC